GCGCTCTCACAAAATGCAACGAAATGCATAAATTTGCCTTATGCTTATGGCCATGGCAACGGGAGCAGCCAAGGCACAAACAACAAATAAATAAACGTGGTAGCTGCTCGTACTCGCACTCTGCCACACATCCGGAATGCGACTCGGAATATAGCTCTATATAAGAGTTACTTATGGAGCTTTGGCTTCCTTTGAGCCACGATTTAAATTAAACACTTTTTCTGGCGCTGTCTTTGTGCTGTGATTGTTTCAGCTGCAATGAAAACAGTTATTTGTGAGAGTAAGTGTAAGTGTAAGTGTGTGTGTGTGTCAGTTGCAGCTTGAATGTGTTTTTCCTTCTTTTTTCTTCCGCTCTTTCGCTTTTAATTCGTAAATTCAAAAGTTCGGAAGCTGTTAATAATGTGGACAGGCGCACGACACGAAGTATTTCATTAGAGGAACGATGGACGCCACTTGAACGCTACTCGTCATTTGCCATGCTCCTAATTCCTTCTCCATTTAAATGCTTCATTTTTGGCTGCAGACAGCCAACGTGTTAAAAGCAATTACAGTGCGCGCCCGAGCAAATGAAAGAAAAACTAATTAAATCCTTTGTGCAACAAAGCGAGCGACGCGCAAAATGAAACCAAAGTGTGCCAAGCTTAATGCGATTGATATGTATGCCTGTGCTCGCTAATGCCGATGTCGATGCCAATGCTAATGCTAATGCCAATGTTAATGTTAGTTTTATAGGCAAATGATTAACAGGTCGTCACTTATCTGTTATGCTTGACCCGGGTAAGCAGATGCTCAGCTGCTATCACAATGGCTTTGCATAATGATGCTGCTGCTGCTGCTCTAATGCCATGCAAATCGATGCCTTCTCCCAGTTCTCTGCAATGCGGCAAACCGGCTTCCAAAATATCGTTTCGGTTATGTAAATGCCAGCAGCGAATCAATATGCTTTCGTTTTCAGCATAAATGCCACATAAACGACATCCATCTCGGTGTAAGTGTGCTTAAGTTATGCATTTGAATACCCTGCACATACGAAATGTGTGAAATAGAGTATGCACACATATTAGTTTGTCTGCCTCCCTTCTCTCAACGAACTCCTTTAGAGAACACCATCAATAAACTCGATTGTATAGACTTTTATCAAGACTGACCAAAGGTCCACATCTTAGAGAACTTCTGTCGGGATAGGTCAACGTTAAGTCGAATGCTTATTCATTAGAGTTAACAATGTCAAATGAGTATGAAAAGATGAACAGGCAGGATGAACAGACTGAGAGGGAGAGAACAACAGTTTTGCTCATAAATTTGAGCGTTGAAAAAGCGCCAAGTAGAGTTAAGTTGAAAGCGTGTTGGTCAGGTGCATTCGCCAGGTTAGGTTGCTGCGCATCCTCTAGCTCTGCCTGTGCCGTTCTCTCCTTCACCTCGGGCTGCACTGATTTATGCCAATCACGATTCGCTAATAACTCAGTGGCAAAGCGACGAGAGCTGCCCTCAACGATGTTGTTATTGTTATTATTGTGGCTGTCGTTGTTGTTGTCGTCTGTTGCCACAGGTCCTGTCATAATGACAGTCATTTGAGGGTTAAATTGGATATGCCTCTTGCGTTGACAAGTCGGTCACGTGCGCTGCCCCAAAGAGGCGCACATAATTGACGTTTCATTAGCAGCATTTTTAAGCGCATTACCATGTAAATATCTATCAGTCATGAGCGGAAGAAAACCTTACAGAGGCGCACAGTTTAAACTAGGGCCACATAATTAACGGGGTCACCTAATGCTGACGTGAATGCGGTTTGGTCAAGTCATAAAAACCCTTATTAGCTTTAATACACGCAGCGCATATCAAATTGAACTTGCTAATGTTGGTTGCCTCGTCCACACAAGCTTCCCACACTCGCACACACTGGCTTGAAATGAGGACAAATTTAATAAATGATCAAGGATTCAACAGCAATTTATGACATAATGATGTTTGAGTGGGAGCAAATGAAATAGACACAAGGCGACGTGTGTGTGCGGGAGCTCTTTATACCCTGCCCTTTGACCTATGACCATATTTTATGTAAATTACGGGATTATACTGTGATTTGGAACAACTTACAGCTGCTGGCCAGAAGCCATGTCTGAGGCGACCTCCTCTAATGCATTTCCAGGCAAACAGCCTGTCTCAATTTGTGCCCCATGGCAGAGGTGTCGATGCGGGTGTGTGTGTGTCTGTGTGTGCGGCAGTTTGTAAAGCTTTTGCTATTAAATTGGACAGCAGTTCGTTACTTTTTTCTTTTTTTTTATTTTGTGTGGCCTGCTGCATCCCCTCAATGTGATTAATGGCTTGAAAACTTGTTTTCTAATTATTTAACACCCAGAAACTACGACAATTAATTATGTGGCTCAACAATAAAAGTCCTGCTCGACATTGTGGGCGACGCAGACGCAAATACAGCCATTGCACCAACTACGACGACAACAACAACAACAACAACAACAACAACAACTACGACAGTAAATTTTATTGTTCGCACTCACATGGACAATTCGTCCCTCGGGCACACAATTTGGTGTACAATTTGCTGTGTTTATTTTTTGCGTAGCAGCCAAAATGAAATTGTTGAATTTGCCAAGCTACACGCATACATATATGTGAATAGATATATGCATATGTATATACACAATGCGGATGCGTTAATTGTTTTTATGGCCGACACCCACACGCCGTCATAGAAATTCCATTGGCGCTCACACACATTAAAAAGTTTTTAATTAAACGCAATTGTGACAATTTATTTAAACGGGCTCATTGCATATTGCATTTAGGCAAAAGCATTTAGTTGATTTTAATGTCAAACACAGCCCCAAGCGATGTTCTTAACAACAAATAATAAAAGCCAACAAATGCACAAAGTGCGTGGCGCCAGAAAGTCAAAGGCCAAGTGGAGGCAGCCATGGCAGCCGAAAAAGAAATCTGCTTAAAACAATTACATTTCAGCATAATTGGCTTTAATTGCTGGCAGTGCCCACTTTAGCTGGCAGCTAACAGAGAGAACATCCTGCGCCTCGAGTGAGGGTCATAATGGCATCTATCAGTGGGGGCGTCCGTCGAGAAGTCGTCGAGGGCCGTCGAGAGGCGAGAATGCAGAAACGGAAACAAGCAATTTTGCGGCAAAGTTACGAGTGCCACAGACAACAACAACAGCAGCATCAACATCAAGAATATAAAGCTGTGCCACAACAATAAGCCAGACAACAACAACAATAACAACAACCACCACAGCCGCATAGTAAAGTAAAACTGAGCTAGGGATGCTCATTAAACTGTATAAATACGATGATGGAACGAAGATGGGGAAGTGTGGCAGAACAACCTAAAAAGTGTTGCAAACTTTTCCGTTAGTGTTGCACAGTAAACTCGGTTAGAGAGTGTTGCAAATGTTTGCGGCTAGTTTGTTGGCCAATTGGTCAACAAGCCAAGAACCAAAAGTTAATCGTCTCAGTCTCATCTGAACTTTAGTGCATAAGTCATCAGTCTTAATTGATTAGAAATCACAGCCTAATCAAATACCGCAAATCGCTTAACAACCGTATTAAGCTGGCCAGCACACACATATATATATATAGTATATAGAGACAACGCATGGCTGATGGCAGCTGCTAATTAGAAATGTGTAGAAAATTTGAAGAGGCAACACAGAAAACTTAACAGACAGTCCCGGCGGAACTGTTGCGGAATGTTGCGCGTTCATTGTTCGGGCTAAAATAGCTGCAGCTCATAATGAGCCAGACCCAGAGGAGCTATAGTTGCCACAACGCTGTTCTCCCTCTCGCTCTCTGGCGCACTCTTCATTGCAGCTTAAGAGGGCAACGCATTGTGGCAAGTTTAACATTTTGTGGTGTGCTGGCGTCTTTTTGTCTAGCCGCGCCTCATTGTTGGCTGCATAAATGTTTAGCTCAAGCAGCGTTAATTAATTGTTTAAGTACTTCACCCTCCACTAACTATTGTGGCCAACGTGGCGTATACGGAACTCGCTGCAAAAACCCTGCCGCCCCATCTGTCTACTAAATTACTTTCGCACACTTACAAGTGTCATCATTTTGTGTGGCATGTTGTTTCCCATTGCCCAAATGAGACCACATAAACTGCAGTTGCAGCTTGTCAGCGCCACGCTCTAACAACAGCAACAGCCACAAAACATTGTGCATTTCAATGAAACTCATTTAGATATAAATGCTTATAAGTGACATCACCAAGCAAGTCACCAAATCCGACACATCTCCACACGCCAGTCGACAAATGTTTAGTTTTTGTGCTGCTCAAATTAAGTTTCAAATTGAATTCCAAATAGAAAACAAGAAATAGCTCAGCTTGGGCGAGTAATTGAGGTATGATATGCACATAGCGCTAAAAGCAAAACAGTTTTTCAACTGCTTTGATGGAGATAAATCGGCAGAGGAGTGACATAAGCTCAAGATATGTTTGCCTCATTTTGTATTGTTGCGATCGCTAAATATAAATATAAATTTTCTATTGCATAGCTCTAAATACCTTGAGAGATTATATTCATAACCAAACAGCCTGGCCTAAAGATCTGTTAGGCTCCTCACTAGCGCTAGACGGCAGCACCTCAAAGATCTACCTGACCGAGTCTTGATGTCAAATATATCAAATATCCCCTAAAATATTCCGTGTGATAGTTACACAACACACTTTCTTCTCAGCAATATTCTGTGTTCATTTCTGCTTAGATTCAATTGCGTAAAATTCAGCAAGCCACAAAGTCACTGTCCAGACTCTTTTCATAAGACAAAGATTTATGCGACCTTTAAATAATGTCGATTCTCAATTCAATTGGCATATCGCTTACTTCATGAAAACAAATCTTTTCATTAACTGTTCCATAATTATTACTTAACTATCGAACAGCTATATAAGCCATATCAGCCAATTAAATCTTGCAGCTGGATCAATCAAAGCCGATCAAGACCACAAATAAAAATATAATTCATTGCATATTCTTCTCTCAGGCATTTATATATTTTTCAGAGATATTTTTTTTACATGTTTTCCGATGCAGCTCATGAGAAGGGAATCCGTTTGTTTGCATTCACTCAGAGTTGAGTGCTTCATTTCAGTTTAATTGCTACAATATCTGTTTACTTGCACTGTTTACTTGGTCTTTGTGCTGCAGCATTGTTCCTTGGTGCCTGTTTTGCAGACGCACCTGCAGTCCTGACTGCACGAGCAGTTGTCGCCGCACCTGGCGTCGGTGCATTTGCAGTCTGTAATAACGCCGGTGTAATAACTCATTGGAATCAATGTGTAAGGTGAAAATCATATTTATTTTTTACTCACTTGTGCCACAGCCCTTGCAAACCATTTTCGTATTTCGTTCACAAACTGAGAAGCTTTTCACGTTTATTCCTTAAGAATTTTCTGGTTTTTGAAAGAATTTCACTGAGCATATTTATAGCTGGCTTTGGTTGCCCAGTGCCGAGTTAAGTATTTTTGCACTCAGTTGAATTTTCTATCAGAGTGAGTGAGTTCAACGTGTGCAAAATCAACAAAAACGTGTGCAGTGCAATTCGAATCGAGCTTACCTCAAACAGTCAACAAAAGATAAGGAAAATGTGATAAGAATGTCATGAGCTGTTGGGTCATTGAACATGTACTCCATCAACTCAACAATCAGCCAGTCTATCAGTCAATCAGTCAATCAGTCAGCCAGTCGGACACTCTCTTATACAGCTGGCAAGCGAGTGTTGCTGTCCTAATTATGACATCATCATAATTGCTTTGGCCCACTAAAATGTTGTCCCAATACTATGCGTTCCTCCTGGCGCGCTTAGTTGAAGTGAAATTACCGCAAATTGCGAAAGTTTTTAATTGTTTATCTCGCCAGACGCTGTGGCCGCAACATTAGTGCAACATGGCAGCCGTGCGGGGAGGGGAGGGCGAAGGGGGTGCACGCTGTTGCGGCATTGTCCTTGCCGCAATCACAAAACAGAAATCTTTTCGAGCGGATGTTTTGTAATTTGGCTTATGCCTTGAGTGGGCTGCAGCTGGATGAGGTCAAATTATAAATTTAATATGTATCCGCGCCGCTCGGACTTCGACTTCCGCTGTGGCAGTGGCAGCAGCAACAACTCCTTTGCAAGCTCAAATTTGTTGTTTGAAAAGTTGGCAGTCGGGCCCGCAGCGTCTCGCAACATCCTCGACCCGACCTGTGGCACAGTTGCCACAAACTTTGCACCATTTCCGCTGCGGCATGGGCCACTTCCGCGTGTCCACTTGCAGCTCGCGCTGCTCCACTGTCCCGCCCACAGCCTGATTAACGTTTAAACTCATTAAGATAACGCAATTTTTGGCGTTCTGCTTAATTTTGCTGTCGCAGCTGCCACCGTCCCAGCTGCCGGCCCGCTATGAGCCGAACCGCGCCGGGGCTAAAGGTCAGCGAGTTGGAAATCTCAAATCTTGAATCTGTTGCCATTGTCTGGCACTCGCTAGTAATTGGTTTGTAAACAATTTCACTTGCTCTTTGACAATTTGCTCGGCCATTTTGCTGTTTGGCTAATTGGAAGAGCCAAGCACTGGAGCCATTGAAGGCGTCTTAGCTAAAATCCAAATTGTAATCTCAAATTGGTCCGAACAAAGTGCTGCTCAAAGTGCTGCCATTATGGACCATTAGATCTATTTATCATATGTTCACGCTCAATTACGGCCTGTGGCGGGCAGTTCTTTGATAACGGGGCGCTTCAATAATTACCCTGACCATGCTACATGCCACAGCAGCTTGACTAACTATGTTTACATGCCAATCAGCTCGGAATTGCGATTTATCGGCGAGTTTGTTTATGCGACCAAATATTTATTTATCCCCCATGTCGCAATGCATTATTTCTATCTGATTTATGGACTAATACCAAATGGACTTATGCCAAAGCTGTTGTGAAATGTGCAATTTTTTGCGGAGTATATAAATTTAAGCGCTTAACGGCGAAAATAGATAAGTCTCGTATGAAACTGTTATCTAATTGTAGCTATTAAACATTAACGGGGAATGCGAACATGAATTTAGCTTCGAATCGTCATTAAGTTCAAGCGCAGCCGATGCGGCAACTGGTGCGTATTGTTGGCCAAAATACGGGTTAGTTAGTCTGCCTAAAATAGACAAAATCGCAACTGTCCAGTTATCAACGCAATTCATATTCCAAATTCCACGAAAGCTCTAAAACAATTTCAATTGTACAACTTATCAACGGGCTGGGGACACACTTGCAGCATTGGGAATGGGGTCCGTCATGTGGTCAAACAACCGACTAACCGACAACGACAACAACAATAACAGTAACAGCAACAGCAACAACGACAAAGGATAAACGACAAGCCTGATGGAACTTCACGCATAAACCGAAAAATAGGAAAATGTTGAGCGACATCGCAATGAAACAGCTGCTGCCCTGCTCAGTTGTGGTTGCAGTTCATGGCAACGATTCCCAGCGTAGAGCACACAGTGAAATCCTTCACACACACACACACAGATGACACACATGCGCACACATGCACGCATAGGCATGTAACGGTCCCAAAAATGTTCTGCAATATGCGTCGAGGGGAAAATTCATCATAAATTTTATGCGGCAGCATGGGAGCCAAAGCTAAACGCAAACTTTTCATATGCTGCTCAAAAAATGTCGCTACTGCTGCCAGAGATTTGCATACCCTGTAAACGCAGATTGTGTCGAATGGGTTGCACAAATCAGCCCAATTGCAGCAGGCAGGAAAATGAAGGCTAAAGGCATTCAACTCAGTTGGGCATCTCCTTTCAGCCATACTAAATTTATAAAACTAGTTAAAGGATATATGTTAGTCGAGCGCATAGTGTTTAGTGTAGCGATATTGCAATTCGCCGCAATTCGAAACGGGCTGATGTCAAATGTAAATTGCTCAAAGAAATGATGGCAATATAACTAACAGTTTGGAGCGAAAACCCAAAAAGGATTTGTTTGCCAGCAACGTTGTTAATCCAATTTGTGATTTGCATAGAAGCCAAAACGAGAATAACTGTTGTTTTACAAGCACCAAACTCAAACAGCAAACAGCTAACAGCCAGCAGCTAGCAGCCAGCAGCTTACAGACAGCTTAGAGCCAGCTGTGCAACGTCTTAAAGGTCAAGTGGCAGTTGGGCAAGCCGCTCCGCATTCCAACTACTTATGCATAGAGCTGCGCTCGAGAACATTTTATGACAATCACAAGCTCTTGCCAGGCTCCATCATTATTATTTGCCATTGGCAACATGCCCTCGCTCGATGGCATATTTGTCAGTATTAAGCCGGCAATTGGCTCTGTCGTCGAGTGCCATCAATTGAAATTGCATCGTATCAAAAGTTATAAGTTTTCATTACGCGCTGACGTTCAATATGGCGCGCAACTAATACATCAGCTAACACACATACCCACACACACGCACACACAGAAACGCACAAAAGTTTGTCAGCAAATGACATGCATTGACGTCGACGATGACTCTAAGGATCGCGCATAAAAGTATGCAACACTTGACGACGCAGCCAATGTCACAATTATTTGGAGCCAAGCGAGATGCGAGGCGTCATATATATATAATATATATATATATATATATATATATTGCGACAGCTTAACGTTTGAAGGCGAGGTGGCTGGTTGCCTGACACAGGAAATCACTAGAGCAAGTTTTTTAATGGAATCAAATCAAATTGTTCGGAAGCTGTAAAAAGCGATTGCACGGAAACATTTTGAGTTGTTGACAGGCGACAACCGCCAAGGTGCAAACACGCCCAACAAAAAACTTGCTAAAGTTTCGAAAACGACTATGACCGAAAAAAAAAAAAAACGAAACGAAACGTGTATAAAAGAAGAGAAGGAAACGCGTCATAAGTACATGCTCGAGTCCTGACAGCAGTCACACGACCCCAACGTCAATGGAGCGTCAAGAGTGCTTTTGCTATGCAGAGCTGCGTCTGCTTTGCCACACCCACTTTAAAGCCACTTTTTAGTGGCAGCTGTGATTGGGCCAGGTGACAGCGGGCTAGGTGCGCAAAAGTTGTGCCAACAATCGTCGCTTGGCTTGGATCGTTTATAGGGCCCATAAGTTGATGCTCGCCCGCTGCACTTTGCCAACTTGACTGCAAGGCCATAAAAATATACCATAAAGCCTGTCGCACAAGCTGCTTTCGGGCCACTCAAAGGGCCGTTAATCAACTGAGGCAGCCTGCTGGCAAGCCAGCACTAGCTGGCGGTCCAGCTAATAACTCTTGTTGACACCCGAGTAAGTTATGCCCATTGAACTTGAGCAGCTGCAAATTAAGCCAATCAATTCATTAGCAGCTCCCGTTTCGCACCTCGCTCCACGCACCTTGTTCCTGGCCCCATGGCAACTTTGAGTGCCACTCGCGCTGCTGCGCATGAAAATTAAATTGTCGCCTACAATGGCAAACAAATTTTGCTCAAATGCAATCCAAATTGCAACAGACACTTCCACAGCGTCGCACTGAGTGAGAGGATGGTGGCAAGTGGTCGAGCGCCGAGCACCCGCAGCGCATTACCTTTGTCTTAGTTCGTGGGTTGCAGATTAATTGCCAATGAGTGTGTACAAGTTCGAGCAGAAAAGTTTTTCAGAGTTTTCCCTGTTCACTCGATTGTTCCGTTACACACACACAGCCCTTGGTGATGCTGGTCTCTTCAGCTCGGATTCGCTCCATGTGACATCCAAACGGGGACCACGTGCATTTTATCTCTGTTCCGAACTCAACACAATTCGAGGTTTTTGAGGTGAAACAAATTTCCGGTGACATAAACTTAATTAGCTTTTGTTCGGGCTTTTGTTTTATGGTTTTGCGGGCACAACTCAACTTAGTGTGCGTGTGTGTGTGTGTATGGGTGTAAGGATATGACAGGGTCGCTTAATAAATGGCTTGCAATGCTGAGGTGCGGCATTTAGTTTTGATTTAATTGAGCCACTTAGCAGATGTATCTTAAAGATACACCAGCTAGAGCTTTCATCAGCAGTTGGTTAATTAAAAAACCAGCGGGGACCAACTTTCTTGCCGTCTGATAAGTCAAGATTCGTGCCAAGCAACTTATAAGTCTCATGACATGATATTTGCTGATAATATCAGATAGCGCACGCAACACATAAATCCATACCTCAAACAATAACAGCAAGAACAACAAGGGGCACAAGAGCGAGCGCAACCAGCATGAGCAAATATAATGAAATTGAAAACTGAGCAGAGGATAAACGTGGCTGAATAGCTAAAGAAAAACTCAAGTGAAACCCAAACAAAAGTTGTCTTACTTCTGCAAATGGAAAATTGCCCATGAGAATGCCAAAAAAAAAAAAAAAAAAGAAAACGAGGAAAATACAAGACAGGAAAACTGCACACAAACTAAATGCTACAGATCTCCGATTCCCTCAAGGCTTGAGCACAAAGTTTATAAGCAATTCT